AAGTCGTTGTAGTGCGATTGCGATTGCTGGGTTTTGAGCGGTGTTCCGAAGAGGCGAACGTTTGCCGAAGGTTACAACCATGATTAGCTTTTATTAGGAGTTTTTGTTGGCTGCTTGCGGAAGTGCAGGAGTCGTCCATCAGTAAGAGTTCTAAGAAAGAGCAGCTGTAAGTTGTGAACGGATTTGTGCGGCAGTACGTTCGATGTTTCTTTTGGCACCATATGTAGTCTGTGTTTAGGAATAGTTTTATGGAAACAGGGGTGGGTTTTTGTGACATTGGTTCGTTTGGGACTTGGTTGATGGCGAAGTGACAAGTGTCGTCCATGTGTTGGCGTAATTGGGTTTTCCTAAAAATGAGAAATATCTTTTAAAGTCTGTGCAATTGCAGCTTGTCCTCACAGAAAAGATATTTTCGGCTCCTGGTTGGCATTGCTTGGTGGGCCCGGAGCTTTATGGAATGCAAACTACGTTTCTAATAGCGCTTAACACTTCATTATTGTAAGAAAAAGCGATAAGAGCAGTTGACTCTTGGTGCTTAAATATCTTAAATACTGCCAAGCAGTAATCACAGCGGCATTGTAGGATTGATCATGAATTTCGAGCATCACGAGGTTTTTTGTATTTTCAGCAAACAAGAAAAGAAGCGAAAAAGTGAGGGTTCGCTGATCGTTGTTGTCGTTGTTGTTGTTGCTATTGCTATTGGTACTGATACTAATACTAATACTGTTATTTTCACTTTTATTTTTATTATTACTGCAGTGGAAACTGTGTACAGAACGATCTGCTCGGGTTGGTTAGGAAAATATTTTTAGTTTTTTCATTGCTAATTCTTTAGTCTTTAAGAGGACCGGCTTGTTTGAGCAGTGTTGATATCTGCGTCGCAGTGCTCGCTCGGTAGTCTGTTTTATCCTTTTGTAGGCATAGTTTCAAGTCCAGCAACACGCTTTGTTGACGGTAATCTTTTCCGAATGCTCATTCTCCTTGCCCATTCATTGTTATTTTCTTGTTTCTGCATGACTTTGCAGGTATTGTATGTGATGGAGATTTGTTGATGGAAGAAAGAAGGAAATAACAAGTTACGGACTTTCTCTAATTTTGGTGTTGATTATTTAAGATACTTTTTTCCAGTTCCCTGTTCTAATGTTAGGCAACAACGCCCTGATTTAGCAGATTTCAAAAAAAAAAAAAACTTTGGTTAAGTAGTTAATCAGGTGCGAAGAATTGGATGTTTCTGATAGGGACTAAAAGATAGGACTTACTAGTCAAGATGGGACTAAGAACCTAATTAGTCTTTGCGAAGCACAAGGAGCGACTGCCTCAAGCAGTGGCTGGAGTAGAGTAGGCGAGTTCTTGGGTTTTAGATTTTTTACTGTAGGTCTATTTCATACTCTTCCGCACACTTTTCCTTTGAAATTTTCCCTTGAAATTTCCTCAAATTTTGCTGACTAGTAGAGTCCGGGCCGGCGTACAGGATGTCGTAGAGAGGATCTGAGAAAGTGGACTCCCCGTCATGTTACTACTCCTCCCTTCCCCAAAGTTGTAAATTTGTCGGGTCGCTACGTCACACGCTTATCCTCGGAAGCTTGTAGTTCAACTAAACCTTAATAGAATTTGGGGATTTTTAGCTCTTTAGATTCATCATGCCTTCTTTTAAATGGTGTTGTTTGATGAATTCTGCTGAGTAGTTGTATAGATACGATAAAAACTAAATTTCAAATAGGTACAAAGAAGGACGTTTTCCAGAACTTTAAAAAAAAAAACATTTCTGTAAAATATTTTGCTTTATAATACGTCACTAATTGGTAGTGGTGGTTTTTTAGATCCAGGCCGTACGAGCCGGGAGAGGTTCTGAGATTAACTGTCTTTAGCTGCTTCTGAAAGCCGTGAGAAACGGCTAGGAAACATAGGTATGTTTTATTTCGTTGAAGATTTGTTGCAGAAGTTGTGTTTTACTTTAAAATATTAACTATTTATTAATCTGAAGAGTTTCAAGAAGTAGCCTTTATTCCAGACTTTTTTGCTTGCTTTTTTTATAAAATTCCTTTGAGGTTTAGCTGAATTATAAGACTGCGAGGATAGGCGTGTCAAACAGTAACCTGATGAATATAGCAACTTTAGGGGGTATAATCTAGAAGGAAATTTACTTTTTCAGGTTTTCTCTTTGGCATCTTGTATGCTGGCCGGAACTGCTGACCAGCAGAATTTAAGAAAATTCTAAGATGCCAAGTGAAAAGAGTGTGCAGACAGGCATGGAATGGCCCAATACTCAAGTGTTTTATATAATACGGGAAAAGGCTGAATGTCAGAGACGTCAGGAATTTAAGTTCAGAACGACTTGGTCGTTTCTTTTGCAAAAATCAAGTCTATTTCCGTATAATTTCAGGTTAAGGGGGAAAGTACTGAGGACTTTGCTGCTTGAATTTTGATTTCTGTTTGTTTGTCTCATTAGAAAATTAGATCCTTCGCGAGTTCCAGATCTCTTGAAAAATTTTTTAAAACTGTCATGGGAAGGTACACATACCGCATTTTATTTTTTAAAAAATGGAAATGAATGCTTTATGGTACATGAGTGAATGATTTTAGCAGTGCATTTGATTGTGATAGTTGTGCTATACCACTAAAGTATCATAAACTTCAGGAAGGCGATGTGGTATCCAGATGCCTATGAATTCAAATGTCCCGTAATTCATCTGCTAAGAATAAAACGTCTGGAGCTTCAATTTTTAAAAATAGGAGGACAATTACTTGAGACTTGCTGAAAGTACTTTGATCAAGCTAGCTATGTGTTTCTAGGGACTGAATATTGGCAGAAAATTATAGAGGATTGCAGGGAAGAAAAAAAATGTTTTTTTTTATTGATTGAAACGGCGTATGAATTGTGGAATGTAGCTGCCATATGAGATATTTTTCATTAAAAGACTCGTCTGTCTTACTTCCTAGTGCATCTAGATTTTACTTTATACTAGAGGTCTCATATGGAACGAATGCGTTTTTAGGCGTTAGTGTGCTTGATCCGGGGCAATGATTTAATATTCCAGAATCCCGTCTGAATGACTGTCAACGACGCAGAAACTGCTGTTCAAATGGAATAGCACGAGTTACTTTTTCAATGATGGCTGTTTCGAATTCTGATTGCGGAACCTACAGAGTTCGTGGTTAATTCTAGGAGGGGATGCGTTGTAACGAAAACTGCTCTGAAGAACCTTGGCAAACTAATTGAAAAATTATGAAAAATTACGCGTATCGGTGCGCCTTGGAGGCAGATAGCTTTCAGCAGTTGGACGCTTGCCAGCCTCTAGCAGGGTTTTCTTTTTTCTTTTTTTTTTTTTTTTTTATTAAAGAAATTCGCAGTACCTTGATTCAGTTTCCTCTTTTCTGCTGTCAAGGGGAGTTTTTTGGCTTACTTTCAGACTTTTAAGTCGGTTAAACTTT